AGAGAAATGAATTGCTTGAAATAAATAAACAGTTAGAAGCAAAGCAAGAAGAGCAAGCAAATAGGATAGAAGCATTACTAATATATACAAACACGACGCGCTTGCCGAGAAAGGAAAAGAAAGTAGATTGGAGAAAAGAGTAGCAAGCCTCTTTAAAGTATTGGTCTAAAAACATTAATGTATGCGAGAAATCAAGAACAACTTAACATCGCACTATTCAAATGGACAGGTGCTGCTTGATATTTTTCTACTTTGCATAAACACGATTAAGAGAAAGTGAGTTCTTTGAGAGAGGATATATTATCGGTTGGGTCAAACAGGATCGCTATACGAAACCATTAAAAACAGATGAGCTGTTCAACCTTGGCACCTTCTGCCATTCTGGTATGCGCTTGTATTAAAAAGGTAGCAGGTATGTTCTCATATATAGACGGTTTGATGTCATCAGATACATCAAATACACCCCCCGGTGGTATTCATACTTGTGGCCGTATGATGGTCATTTTCAGAAACCCCTCATAGATCTCTAACCTGCGGCTATTTGTGCAACAACACTGATTTCTTTATAAAGTAGTAGTATGGTGAACAATCGCATTTTTCTTTCTTCGTGGTAAATTGACTACATACTTGTGTTGGAATGGCTAATTACGTAGACAAGATCTGTTATCGCCACCTTTACGTTTACAGCTTGGCTGTTCCTGAGGCGACGGCTTTATGGCTTTCCCCCTCGAGTGGAACATAAATCATCTTCTCCCTATCAATCACAAACAATTTATCTTTTCCACATCTTTCTATATCAATTCCTTCTTGTTTTAGCCGTGTCTTTTGATATTTGTGAGTCGCCGTCATAGGAATCCTATACAGTGACGAATGGTGTGAGCTGGCAACAAAAGCCAGATTGTACAATTCAAACAATCACTCAACCCCTATTCAATCTTTCCCAGTACACGGTTCCAACCGCTAACTGTTTATTTATTTCAAGCAATTCATTTCTCTCTTTCTCTAAACCAGTTGTTAGTGACTGTAAACCTTTAACT